CAGCACTGTGGGTCTTAACCTGTAAGGTGCAGATAACAGCCCTGCCCTACTTTCAAGACCAACATGAGATTAAATGCTCAGAGAGCCCGTGAGGTGCCCGGATCCTCTGGCAAGAGGAGCGGGCACACGGAGCGGTGCCCAAGTTAAAATCTTTGCCAAACGCTGCTGCCTCTCAGTAGCCATACGAAAGGCGGACGCACTTCACGCAGTTACGCAGTTCCACGGCTGAAACTCAGTGTTCTTCCAGCGCTGTGTTTGCTCGCAGTATTTTTCTTTCGAGCCAGTTCTGCTTTACTGGAGAAGAGCTCTTGGCCCAAGTTTTTGAGCCCCATTCCAAGGCAGGTTTTTACTTCGAGGCTCCCTTCTCAATCAGTCTTTCTGCAGATGTGTTCTTGTCTACAGACTGACAGAAGCTTGTTCGGTGGACTTGAGACATTGATAAGCGTAGGAGCGTGCTGTTAGCAGTTTCTCGCTTCGTGCTGTGGCGTACAGCCTAAACCACAGACGGAGGTGCATTTGCACCACTCTCTGGAGCTCCCGACAAGCACTTTTTCAGAGTGCTCGTGCACAGGCGTGTTTCATTCTGCCAGCTGTGCTGCCGGGGACGAGGTGTAAATATCCCAGAAGGTTGCAGCTAACCGCTGGGATGAGCCAGTATCTCAGACTGCTGCGGCTGACTGCTTTGGTCCCCAGGACTCAGCGCCCTGTACCCTTGCTTTCTGCTCCTTCTGTCCCTCCTAGTTCCAGCTTTCCGTTGTAACTCTATCCGTAACTTACTTCCACGTTACTCCTTATTCTCTCCTTCTCCTGGGATCTGAACACTGGCTGCGCTTTGCCCACTCGCTGCAGAAAACGTTTTTTTTTTCTCCGGAGGGGAGCTTGGTGAAAATTGAAGAAGAAAATTGTCATGAAATTGTACACGGACTCATTGGTCGTATTTGTTCGGAGTTGTTAAAAAGCTCCAGACCAGCTTTAGCCTGAAAATACATGAAACTTAGAAAATGTCACAAGCTTGGTTATGAACTAGCGGGGGGAAAAAAATTCAAATGAAACCGCTTTTCAATATTAAAAGTGCAAGAAGTTTCTGAAACCTTTCAAATGCTTCAGATACCCCCAGGGATGTTTCCTACTGGCTGGCAACAGAACTACCCCCTCCCTGCCCTTTGCTTGTGAAACCGGGAGATTGCACAGTTCCTTTTCCTCTGCCTGGTTTAGCTGAGGACAGCCCACCTCAGGAGCACTGAGTGTCCAGCGCTTAGTGACCAGACAGAAAAAAGTGCAGCTATTTCTGAAAACCTGAGAATTTCCGAGTAAGCTTTTTTAAAAAAGTCCTGAATTGACTTTGTGTCTGCAGCCTGGAGATGCCTTAAAGAACTCAGCAGCTTAAGACAAACTGACAACTTCTCCCAAGTCAGTCTTCCTGACGTGCTCAAGCTGAGGTGCCTAAAATCAGTATGATTCTGAAAATACTTGTCTTTCTCAGCACGAGAACCCCTTACTGGGTAGCTCCCAAGTAAACAAGAAATTTGCAGGTCCCTTGCCAAGTTTCATGGTAGAGGGAGTTGATGTTTACTTTTATCTGAGTTTGTAAACTCCCTGACCAGAATTTCCTAAGCAGAGAAACCTTGCCTGCTCTCTCACAGCATCTCGTTTTTCATTCTGCTCCTGAAGACAGCCCCTGACAAATGACAGCTCTTCTAGCGTTAAGCATCCCTAATGAAACATTCCAAGGGCATGATGCTGGCTTCTGGATTCCTTTTGCTGCCCCCTCCCCCAATTTTTTTTCATTACATAAAGCTGACAACTGCAGATTTGTCCTCTGTTGATTATACAGTCAGTTAAAGAAAAGAGTTCATGTCCATCCCAGCTTGTTTCACTTTGCTGCTTTTCCTCCGCCAGCCCAACTCTCAGCTGCAGTAACGTGATACCACTTGGCAGAGGCTGAGAGAATCTTTGGCACATCGGAAAGAGGCTTAATGTAAAGTCTACGGTTTTTTTTTTATTATTATTATTTTTTTTTTAGAGCTTTTTGAAACTCTAGTGGTTCTGCACAGCTTTGGCAGTAACTGCAGGGCTGCTCACAAATGCAACTGTGAGCAGAAGGATTAGCAATGCATTCTGTGAAGAGAATGTCTTAGGATCTGCCACATCTCCCTCTAAAAAAGTATTAAAGAACGACATGGATCAAGTAGAACAGCTTTCAGCCACCAGAAGGAAGAGCTGCCTCTCAGTTGACAAGAAAAAGAGCAATGGCTGTAGAACCGTTGTGGGATTTTTATGCATATTCCCTGTGGTGGCTTTGCTGGCTGTGGTGGGAGATCCAGCTGGAGCTGCAGTTCAGAAAAGTCAGGTAGGGGAAAGGATCTAATTCTCAAATGCTAGAAAGGGGAGTGGGGATATCAAATGTATGTGCATGTGTGTTCTTTTTAGAAGACGGATACATTCAGGAAGCAATCTAAACAATATCTAAATAGCTGTTAAGGCAACAGGATGTGTTTGTGGCTGTTTTGAGTCCCTTTTTGCAAAGGATCCTAAAAGGTAATAATTCATCCAAGTAGAATCAGATTATTAGAGACGTTGTGTGCAGCTTGCAGACAACCAGCCAGTGAAGGCACAAAAGATTTGGGTTGTTTTCCCTCAGAGCTTTGGCTATTCTTCCGAGTACCTCTGATTTCCCAGCCTAGTGTGATGTGGCACACATATATTCTGATTTCTGTAGCAGCTGAGCTTTCCTAGGAGCTCCAGAGGCAGGGCTCGTGGTGCAAGATCTAAACTGGGGGTTAACGCTGGACCCACAGAAACTATTAGCTGATATTAACTCTCTTTCGAGGTCCATCCACTAGCAAGCTATGCTGGGACAGGCTGGGATTTGGGGGGGGACTGTAGCAAGGCTCTGGGGGTCTCAGAAGCTGATTTTAATTTTTGCTTTTAGCTTAATTTTAGCTTCTAATTTGATAAAATAACAATTCTTCTCTGAGTGTGCGCATCTTCTCCTGCTGTTTGTGTCTGTGAAGGTCCTCGGGGCTCTTTATTTAAGTCACAGAGTTACGTTACTGTTTACTTTGTGAGAGAGGAACTGCATGACTAGGGGAGAGAGGGGAATGAATTACATTCATTACAACTCCATGAAGTCAATTAATGGAGGTCTGACTGCACAGGGAGAATAATGTGGAGCCGGGATGTTGTCCAGTGCCTGCCTTTATCTGCTTTGGTGCCTTGCAGTTGTGGAGAGAGACAACTGAAAGCCCTGTCCCTCTAGTACCTCCCAAGCTTTTTGCATGTTTGAGACCTTAACCCACAGTCGAATGGGTTTCCTCCTGGGAGTAGCTGACCTCTTCTCCAGTTCGGAGTATTCCCATAGTCTTGGTTCTTTGGCATCCAGACAGATCCTTTGATTTCAATTATACGGTGAAATTTTTAACTAGGTCCTTCCATTTCTCTCAGAATCCTACGTCTGAGCTACATCATATGTGTGGTACCCCAATTCGTTTTGCAACACGTTCTTAATTAAAAGCATCCTGTTGCACGAGTGGTAGGTAGAACAAAGACTAGAGTAGAACAAAGGCCGAGCAGAATGTTTGAGCAAGAGCGCTCGACCCTCTGCACCTTCCTTGGCCTAGTGGCTGGGTCAGATACAGGTTTCAGTGGTTGCTGCTGGGCCTGAGTCACGCTTGCTTTGTTTTGTATTTTGATGGTAAGCTCACTAGGGACACAGATTTTATTTCCCCCCTTGCTCGTTCAGCACTTATGGCCTTAGGGTTTTAGGCTGAATGGCTGTAGAAGACACAATAGTTTTTCTCCCTTGGGGCTGCAGGAGTTTTCGTTGTAGGAGGAGAAGCCAGCAGGCTGACCCTCTGATTTTCCTCTGCTGATACCCGGGGGGCTTTAAGAAGAGCCTCAGGATTTCACCCTACGCTGGTGTAGTTTAACAGCCCGGTGGCAGATCAGGCAGTGTCTGTTACTCAGCCTGTGGAGGTTGCAGCTCAGTGCGTTATCGTAACGGTGCCAGTTGGGCTGTGCATTACAGAGGCTCGAAAGCAAATGCACTGCGCGTTCTGCTGGCTTTGCTAAGGAGCAGGAGCGTCTATCACGAGGATAGACAGCTCCTGAGGAGTGTTAATACCTTACCTCATCCCATCGTGGACTCGGAGCCCATAGACTGACGGAATTCACAGTACTAGCAATCCTGGGCTGTTCCTGACTGATGCCAGAATGAATCGGCCCCAATACTGGCAAGGGAT